ACGCGATATTTCAGATTATTATATCGTCGAAGGTATTTAACTCGTCGAGTACCGGTTTTGTAGACACAATTATAGAACAATAGGTTGCGGTCACCGGTGACCGCTTGGTGTTTGACAGTTTAATTTTGTGAGAAAAGAAAAAGTACGTGTCTAATGTTTTAAAATATGTACCAGACGGCCATTAAAATAAGATTTAGGCAACTACTATATTGCCAAGATAAGTTATATTGCTACTTAGTGCCCACAATCTGCATCACTTGTACCTAAGTTGTAACTTGAGGCGGCCTTGCGAGTTGGGACTCACTCTTGACATTTTGACGACATTATGCAACAACGGAGCTGTCAATGGATTGACATTAAATCTGCTCTAGTTTTGGTACTGGATATTTTAATCGATCATAGTAATTACTTAATTGGTCTTTTAAGGTGATTAATAAATATTATTTACTTGAGAGTTAAGCAGAGATTTAGCAAATATAGATACTCTTGTACAACCTTTGTCTAACACATCAAGGTATTTTTTTTTATTCATATGTGCACTGTTTAAAAAACTACCCCTTAAAAGTGGACTATCTTCTAAATATTTGACAGGAAAGTAGCTTAAACATAAAGGTACTTTTTTAACGGGGGAAAATCATCGAAGTACTGCTCCCAGCTGGATGAGGCGGAAGGGAGTGTCAGACTCTTACTGATTAAAAACCACCCCGTTCCTACTTCTGCAGTTTGAGCTGGAGTCCCGGTAACCCGTTAGGTTCTCCGGGACACACATATAGGTACTAGGTCCTTAAACTCAAACGACGATATAGTCCTGTACTATAAGTATTATAGTAAATGCGTATAAATAGTAAATACGTCAAATATATGTATATAGAATAGAATCAGGCGTTACTTTGCGGAATTCCATGCTACACAAACTACTGGGAAAATATTTAGTTTTCATTTCGCTGAAGGAATGAATCAGCATGCAGTGCAGATGCAACATTTCGCATCTCTGTTGCATGAGCGTTTATCTGCGAGCAGGATTGAGGTGCTTCATACTGCATGCTACAGATTCATTCCTTCAACGGAACAAAAACTAAATATTTTCCCGGTTAACTAAAAATCGCAAGTTACTCACGTGGAAATACTGAGAAAACCTCTACTAGTTTCGAACCACAGAGGGGTTCTACGCCATTATAAATGTACGCCTACGTAGGCTTCGCGACATGTTCATCCTATTCATGAGGAAGAACTCCTCTGTGGTTCGAAACTAGTAGAGCTTTGCTCAGTATATTCACGTGAGTAAACCGTGATGTTTTAGTTAATTTAGTATGTCTCACGATTGTTCTTATAAAACATTTTCCCGGTTGTTAGTGTACGTCAAATATGCTTTAATTTGATCTTTAATAACAAATACCTATAATATTTATAACATAACATTCAATACATGTTATGAGTCCCATGTAATAGCGGATGAGCCTATTGCCATATACCGGGCACAATTCCAGACTCCGTGCTACTACTGAGACTTTTAAAAACCCAGTATTATTTGGCCGACCCGGGAATCGAACCCGGAATGCGACCACTCGGCCAACTAGGCAGTCGTAGGCAGGCAGCCCTATAATATTTATCACCATTTCCGTCCGGAACTGCAACATTTTTTTTCTTCCAAACATTTCACGTACCTTCTGAAAGAATCGTCATCGAGCGTCAATAGTACCTTGGATTAAAAAATAAACAAGATAATATAACCTACTAGCGGACCCGACAGACGTTGTCCTGCATATCCACTTGAATGTATAAACAAAAATTCATTCAAATTAGTTCAGCTGTTTAGGATAAATTTATTTTATTTTATTTTTTTACAAAACCTTGCCCCACACTAGGATTTTCTCCTGTGTCGTGGGTGCGTTTACAAACATACAAGTTCACATACACAATGACACCCAGACCCGAAACAACAATTTGTGGATCACACAAAGTGTTGTTCCGTGCGGGAATCGAACCCGCGACACGTTACACGGCAGCCGGTTGCCCAGCCACCGCACCAATCGTGCAATCGATAAAAACATCGACTGCAGCGCCATCTGCCGGGCTGATTTGTGAATCTAAACCATTCCCAGATCCCCTTGAACACACATAAAAAATTTCATCAAAATCGGTCCAGTCGTTTGAGAGAATTTCAGTGACATACACACTAACTGAAGAATGATAGTTATATATAAAGATATAAGACAAAATGCCAATCACACCTTTTATCATGTACATAATAATAAATATTTGGTATGACTAAGGCCGCCTGCTCACAAGCCGGATATGTAAGCCGCCCACAGAATTTCCTCTCTACACTTGAATTACCGGATTGTGAACAGCTTTATAATTTATTGAATTACTTCCCAAAATACAATGTCAGTTTGTAGGTTCTGAGTAAATAATATCTTGCTGTCACCTAAGAAATCATTTTAGATTTTAGGCCTGTTTGTATGCCTACGCAGTTTTAGAGACGCTGACGTAATTTCCATAGTTTGTACTGGATTGAGTAGTGGGCAATGTCCTAGGAAGGCTAGGAATAATATGAAATAGGTAATCTACAATACCTTCTTAAGCCTTATAAGTTTTCTTCGATTAACCTAATAATTATACATTAGGAGTATCTTAAGAGTTCGACTATCGGACTGAATTCGGAACACCACGCTGCGCTTCACGATTCAAGTCGTTGATGTTGGTCATAAAGCTTGAAGTGGAACTGTGCTGGTCATGTCTGCCGCACGTCAGACGAGCAGTGGGCAAAACTTACTACTGAGTGGAGTCCACTCAACGTCAGTAGACGTCGCGGCAGGCCCAAAAGGAGATGGCGGGACGAATTAGACATCTATGACAAGAATTGGCCGCAAGCAGCTTTACACAGAGAGGAGTGGAAGGAGGGTAGGGAGGCCTTTCCCCAGCAGTAGGACGATCGTGGCTGAAAATAATGAAAACCTAATAATGGCGATGCCATGCATCAGACACAATTCCATACTACATAACATTGCTTACTATATAATTTGTATCGGTGGTCCAGGAATCGAACGTGATACTCAACCAATGAGGTTACAATCGTATATTGTAATAGTTACATAGAATAGATCCATATCATTAAGTTCAGTATGCACAATATACAAACAAAGAACTACTCTAAATTGCACTCACTCATTCATTTCCGATATATCCATGTGCATAATAAATAAGCACGAACTGTACTGTAACTAGTGCACTTTCTCTGTGACAATAAAATAAAACACACTGTATATTACATAACACTTTATTTAATCATATATTTACAATCGATACACGTATTATTTCACACACCGCCGCCATTTTGAAACGAGCGCGTGCGCGTAATCTTTTATTCGTTTATTGAATGCTTATTTCACTGTTAGATTGTGATATGAATTATTTTTATTTCAATAAGATACAGAAGAGTAAAAACGACATTGAAGATTAATTTTATACCAGACGTTAAAATAATCAATTGGGCACTAAAACTTTATAAAACATCTGATTTACTTTTTCTCCTCAATTTTATAAAGTTTCAGTTCCCAATTGCAGCTGTTATGCTGAAAAACATTATTAATTTGTTTATAATCATATAATAGTGTTGCAAATGCTTGAAAGCACCTGTATTAGGCTAAAGGCATGTGTTTCTGAAGTAAATTGCTAAGATTTTAAACTAAGGTTACACTGACAAGACAAAACACAATCATTAATCGGGCAAAAACTTTTTTGAATAACACAAAATGTTCTATCAATTTCCTCTTTTCATAAAACTGGAGTTATTTTCCACTTACCTAGAAAAACAGACCTAAAGGAAGATGCCATTAGGTCTTCCATTAAGTCTAGACCAAAAAAGGCTGCAAGCTAATGAAAGCAGCTAATCCGTAGACTGCAAATGGACTGCCATAAATAAACGATAGCGGTTCTATGGATTAGCTGTAAAATACAAGCTGATACAGCCTTGAATACGGACCAAGATGGATCATATAAAGAAAAAAAATTAAAAATTCTGCACATCGTAAGACCATAGATAATACATGTCATATCAATGTAAAATATTAATTTGTACCCACGTACCGTCATTATAGACACAATTAAAGAACAATAGGTTGCGGTCATCGGTGACCGCTTGGTGTTTGACAGGTTAAATCGAGGTCTTAGTAATAAATATTTTTTACTAATACTTGAAATGAATCAATTTGATATCTGAATTAACTAAAAATAACGGTTTTATCACGTAAATATATTGAGAAAGGCTCTACTACTTTCGAGCCAAACAGGGACTCTTCCTTAACTAGAGCTTTTTCAGTATATTTACGTGATTGAATTGTTATTTTTAGTTTATTCAGTATGTCTGACGATAGTTTTTATATAAAAACAATTGTATATATCTATTCATTTCAGTTTCAGAAACACATGCGTTTTATCTAAACTTTTTTTTCAAATATATTTTTTTAATTCTAACAATGATAGCATTGAAATACTTGTGGTAATAATATATAGTACATATATGTTACATATATACATAAATAGATATATATACAATAACTAAAAGTACTTATTAATATTTGTGTAGATATGTAGGTACATAAATATTTGATAAAGTTTTAGTAAGTTAAAATAATACAATATTCACATGCAAAATATAAATCCGTACATAAATAGTGTAAAATATATAAAAATAGAGGAATAAACTGTGTGTAAATTGATATAATATTTATATTTCGTATATAAGCAACTTTTGCAAAGTGTTTTATTCTTTTTTTTATAATATTGCCCATTTCTTTTTCGTATGTAGGTCCGTATATGTGTTTGGTACATACTTCTTAATAAAATACTTAACAAACAACCGATTTTTTGAAAATCAGATATATTTTTATGTCTGCTAAAGTTGCACATTTAGGCAATGACATTTAAAAAATATTTATCATAAAAATATACATACATATTATTAAAACTACGTATAATTATTAAGTGTGTGTGATAGTACGTAATTTTAATATTTATCAAGAAAAAATATAAATAAATTATTAATTGATATTGTTAACCACAATATAATTAAAGCTCCTTCCTTCAATTTGTATAAAATACACCGAAACAATTGACTAGTACTAAAATTATACAAAAATCGTAAAAAATATATCGTTCGTCACGCTGGGAGGTACCCTTTACAATATTCTAATATTTTGTACAAAATTTGAGTGTTGGTGTAAACGATTCATGTCTCTAAATTGGCAGCGAAAAATGTAATAGAATACTACGTTGGTATATAAAAATCAATTTAAGTATTAATCAGTATTAACTAAGTTTGACTTAAATTGAAATTCAAATAGAAGAGATACATAAGTAAGGTTATATTCAAATCAGAGATTATCCTCTTATGGAGACAAGAGGACAACCTGTGATTTAAAAACTTCGGTGATTATTGTAGTGAATCCTGATACTACAATCAAAGTCTACTAAAGTCTAGGAATCGTCTACACAAACACAATAATACTACAACTAACACCATCAAACAACAATAACAATGATCACTTAACCAGTGAAGTTGATTGAGTACGATCCAGAGCTGGGGTCAAAGTTCTGGGCGGGGTGGCCAACAAATGGGTTGAAATTCTGATTCTGGCCCTGGTACTGCTGCTGTTGGTACTGGGGCTGGAAACTCTGGCTCTGGAAATTCTGGTAAGGCTGAGGAGTGTAAGCTTGGTAGGAGAATTGAGGCTGCTGGTGGTATACCTGGCTCTGGGGACGGAAGTCCTGGTTTTGGGCTGGGAATTGCTGAGGACCTTGGTTGAAGAGGCTGGTTTGCTGGGAGTAGAGAGGAGCTGATCTGAACTGGCTCTGCTGCTGGTATTGAGGAGCTGGAGCAGCTGTGGGTGCTGGGGCAAACTGAGGCTGTTGCTGGTACTGTCTCGCAGGCGCTGGTTGAGCAGGCTGGTGGAACTGTCTGATGGGAGCTGGTCGTGGCTGGGCGCGGCTGTTGTACTTCGGGTCCTCATAGATGCTAGGGTCTTCACGGTACTGACCATCGTCTTCTTGGCCATCAGTGAGAGCGTTCGAGGATTGAGGGTTGTTTAGAGTTGGTGGGGGCACCATGATGCCAGGGCCTGGAATGATACGAAATTTTTGAGCATATTGATCATAGTTTTAGAGGCAGAATTTATTAATTTGATGTTGTCGCCTGGATCTCAAAGGGCCTACCCAATTATACTCTTTGGGCCTACCCATTTTAAACCTACCACAATAATAAACTGCCTCGTTGGCCGAGTTGTCGCAAGTGCGACTGCCAGGTAAAGGGTTCGATTCCCGGGTTGGGCAAAGTATTACTGGGTGTTTTAGAATTTCTCAGTAGTGGCACGGAGTTTGGAATTGAGCCCGGAAGCAATAGGCTCACCCCATATTGCATGGGACTCATAACATAAATAGTGAGTGGGTGTTACATTGTAGTGGCATAATGTACACCTCTGCCTTCTCCTTCGGGGATAAAAGGCGTGTTTTATCTTCAAATTCTACTTATCATAATATTTTACGTTAATTTCTTAAATAATTTCACGCATATAACAAAGTTAAGAGAGCTTAACAAATTAAAGAGTCTTCAAGTTAAATAGTTAACTGTTGCAACGTTACGTTAACTTAACTATTAGGTAAGTTAATCTTGTAGTTAGCGAGAATTATGTAGTTAGGACAGTTATCAGGCCGTGAAGGTTGAAGGCACTAGGCAGAAGTAGTGTAAAGTTGCAAGATATACTAATTCATGATAATTTTCTAGACCAAGATCTGTTCTTTCATATTGATAATGATTTATGAATGCCTTTATAAGGAGAGAGAGCTAAATTGGTGCTACATAATTGCATCTTGGGAATCGGCATAACTTTAAGAAGATAAAAAAGTTAAAAAGTTCCTGGCACAAAACTAGATTTTGTACAAATACTCATTTCGTAACAGAACAAAAAAAATTATTAGATACATTACGTTCGTGGTTTATCACAAGAATCGATATCAAAACTAACCCTCAATTAACAGTCACACCTGCCCTCATTTCCCCAACAAGGTCCTCAATTAACCATAATGATATCAAATTACACACATCTTTTAAAAACGTAACAACCATTATATCAAACCCCGCAATTATCTTTCCACTCCTAAGAAAGCTTAATCTCTTTCTAATATCAGTTCAATTGCTATTACTCCATATACAGCTGACCATCGGCTACCGTGTCGGACCACCATGGTATTACACCATGATGTGTTGACCAATCAGTGAAACGGATGGCGCAACCGCTCCAGTTAGGCTCAGCTGTTGATATGGTATGCTTATGCTAACTCGGTAGCTACGTCCAGTTGTTGAAAGAAGTGGTAATTAAATTGATGAGCTGTGTTTGTTTATGTCTTCATCGTGTGTAGCCATTTTACCATTTGCAACTTTTGATAGAAAATAATTAGTACCACAGTATTTTTCATATGAAGTTGGGATTGAATGAAGAATAATTGCATAGGGTTATTCACCTAGTATTTTATAATAAGCTAACGTAATTTTTACTTGTTAAATTTTAGATGTATATTGTCATATATCATCAAAGAATTTACAAACGCAACATAATCTTAAGAGTCTTACAGAGAGACTAATAAAAGTAAATGAAAGAAATAGTAAGTAAAGAAAATAAAAGAAGACAACCAATACTTAAAGAAGCCATGAAGAAATGGAACCTAAACCTGGCCCTATACTTCTGTATCTTTCACAAATCATAATCCACGCAAGAACAGTACAGCTAAAACAACAGCAATCCTACCTTCGGGCTCGAAACCTCTCTGACTGCTGGCACCATACGAGATCTCTCTAGTTTTTCCATTCTCGTCAACATATCCATACTTTCCAGCTACATCACCATTCGGGTATTTCGTCTCAATCTTGAAGGATCCGTCAGCAGCTTCATATCCGTAACTGTAAGATCCATCATCGTTCTGTCTGTTGATCTGCTTCAGGATGGGTACTGGTGTGGTGGTGGGACCGTTGGGACCCTGGCAGTAGACTGCCAACCACGCTGCACAGAGAATCAGGGCCTGGAAAGAGAGAATGCGATTTTTAGTTAGGAGTCCCTCCCTCAGGGTAGTATTTTGGGTCCTATGGGAGAATGAACCATTTTATTAGCCAGGATAATTCCTAATGATGATTTTTGTCAATTAAAGTAAGGCCTTGTAGGGCATATTATATTTTACGTTTTATTTAACACTGAAAATAAAACTGAACACCATTATTATTGTTGCATTTCGGAAGTAAAATAAAACAACGCAACAGTCTTCATAAACCGTGAAACTTAGTTAAAGTTACGTAGTTAAAGTTGTTACAAAAAGTACAGCGTTAAGCTATTTCGGTTAAAAGTAAACCGTGACCTTGATCTTGTCGGAGCGGTGTCGTTGCGTAACCGCTGCGCGGTCGTTACGATATGGTTATAAATGTACTTGATGGTTTTATAAAATAATCATATCTTTGAACAAGATAAAGTCTCTTTATTGTGTAAATTGAAGTCTATGAGGTCTTTTCAATTAAAATGTAATCATCGCAAAACAAGATTAGTAAAAGTATAATTTGCTTATGAGATTTGTATCTTTTACTGCAAAGGTCAAGCGAAGGGTTACTTTTTGTTTTTCGTTGTTACGTTTTCTTGAAGTTTTTGATAAGAACGAGATAAATGAAATGACTTTCTTTAGAAGAAATCTAAGCTGTTCCTGTGTAAGTTTATTACAGTTCATATTATTCACAGATGTATAGACTATTTTACATTCAACGCAATTACTGAGAATGTTAAAATAAAAAGTTGATGCAATGGGCACAGAACATAGCTAGTGACGCCATCGAGGCCTGTAATAGGACAAATACTTCAAAGCATTTGCTATAACTATTTACTAGCTAGCTATACATTTTTTCAATCAAATTCCTTTAGCAAAGTAATGCTACAAGAAACTTCGACTCAACGCCTACAGTGTCTACAATTAAAATGTAGTTATACAGTAGGCCAACTTAGTAAATATAATTTTTTTTAATTTCAAAGCCAAATTGCGATTCTAGTACCATTTAAATATTTAGTCCTATCGGTAAATACTTTGATGGTCCTTGGAATGCAATAATGGGGATTCAGTATTATTTGCTAGCAAGCAACCGTCATCATCGTCATCATCATCTTCAACAGCCTGTTCTCGTCCTCTACTGGACATAGGTATTTCCACTGACCTCAATCTTTAGCTTTACGAGTCCAAGAGCAATACCCAGCAACCGTACGGTTTACTAAATGACAGTTCCTGTGTCAACTGAAGAATACTGTGTTAATAATACAAAGCAGTTAGTTTGTCCAAATGAGATAAGTTTGGCCCTAATCATCTGCAGTCTTGTAAAAAATTCTGTAGAATTTTGGCACCTTCGGTATCGGTATGTGTGGGAGAGCCATGCTTCGGCACGAATGAGCCGGCTCAACCGGAGTGATACCAAGGCCTCACAGAAAACCGACGTGAAGTAACGCTTGCGATGTGTTTCGTCGTGTGAGTGAGGTTACCTGAGGCCCAATTACCCTCCCCTTCCCCAATCTCCCCAATCCCTGAATCCCCAACGATCCTCAAATTCCTAATCCCCAAATAGCCGATAACGCACTTGTAACGCCTCTGGTGTTCCAAGTATCCATGGGCGACGCCGATTGCTTTCCATCAGGTGATCCGTCTGCTCGTTTACCAGCTTATGCCATAAGAAAAAATCTTGTCCTACGTTGATCTACTGTTAATTTCTGTGCAGGTGGAGAGAGAATGGCCTAACTTAGCCTTGTGGTCAACGCGGACATATAATACGTTGTTTATACCTAACTGCAATGTTATTAATATTGTAATATTGCTCGCACTAAATGGAAAATTGGTGTTGAAACATTTATTAACAAAAACTATTTTGTTTTAGATCTTAATCGGAACTAAACAAGACGGGCATTATGAAATGGATTACTTTATTTGTAACAATCAGATGTTATCTTGTGTCAGCTGCTTACAACGAAGTAAACCGAACCAAAAAAGTACAATATTAAAAAGATAAACAGATATTATCTACATTCAGCTTAAATTTGTAAAGGACTCGCTATGTACAGGCATTTGCGAAACCTAGCGGAGAAAAAGTTGCAAAGCATAATTATACAAATAGATTCTAAAAAAGGATAAGTGCGAAGTTGATGCTCATAATCCGAGTATTTCTAAGGTTATAAGTAAAAATGAGAGATATGTAAAAGAATGAAGGACAACACCTATTACATGCGGTGGTAGCCGGTTTATGGGAAAATACTATAACTACTGTAAACCACGGAGGCTGGTATAAAAAAACTTTGAGTAGAATTGCTTCTTCTATAAATATTCTTAAGCATGCGGTAACAAAGGCATTCCCATTATCAGAATCTAATCTTACAACTTCATTGAATGACAAGTAAATTGTCAACCTTGATATTGTAGGTTCGATTACCCGGACTAAAAAATACGTTCAGTAAAAACGGAACAATACGCAAAGCTTGATTGCAATTAAGTTTACAATTAATCTGTACCCGACTAGTTCAGGATTCAATTTAAATTGTTGCATGTAACTATTTAATTACGTACATATACATAGGATAGGTACATTCTACATCTAGCGCTGCACATTAATAGAGATAAAATAGGTATTCTATCAAAATTATAACGCAAAAAAAGTTCCACAATAACACTGTTGGTAACAAACAGACGAATCACCTTATTTTTTTTTTTTTTTTTAAGGGGCGAAAATCATCGAATGACTGCTCCCGCCTGGGTGAGGCGGGAGGGAGTGTCAAACTCTTACTGACTAAAAACCACCCCGTTCCTTCTTCTGCACGTCGAGGCGGTGCCCCGGTTACCCGTTAGGTTCTCCGCGACAAATATAAACCGTATAATAGTATCTGGAGTTGATTTAGACCGCAGATCAGCTGTATTAGAATGTGCTGTTGCCTGATCTATTAGACGTGTTTTCAATAAGTCAGCTTTTATAAAACATGTAGGAGAAGGAGTCTTTTTCTGGCGTCATCACCTGGCTATTGATTACTGAGTAACTGAGTAAAAGTAAGCTAAAGCACTGTTACTTAATCTTTATAAAATCAGTGAATCGATCAAGTTTTCCATTAGTCAGTGATTAACTATAATAACCATTAATTCTTGACAAACTGGTCACCAGCCAGGCAATACCTACTTGAGCACTAGGCTGAACCTACTTAGATTCTTAGATCTAGTGCTCACGTAACATTCAGGACAGCTAGGCATATACTTCCTACACTATAACGATGTTAGTTATTGATATTCAAAAGTCAATCTTGTTTGTTATTCAAATACTAAGTTCTAGACTTGACTAGGTTTCTCGATAGGTAAGTTCTGTTAAGATGCGAGTGGCCAGGCAAGAGGTCTCGGGTTCGATTCCCGGGTCGCGCAAAGTACTACTAGGTTTTTATAAATCCTCAGTAGTAGCACGGAGTCTGGAATTGTGCCCGGTATATGGCAATAGGCTCACCACCTATTACATGGGACTCATAACATAAAAGTGAAAAGTGAGTTTTAAATTGTACAGTGGCATAATGTACACCTCTGCCTGCCTCTTCGGGGATAAAAAGCATGATTCTAAAGTGTAAAGTGTTCCTTACTTGAACATGAACACAAAAGAAAATTCTCGAAGCTTCGAGGAAATGTAGACCATCACTGCAGATGGTGGCAGCCAAGGTAACGAGCAGGAATCTCAAATAAACCTATTAATATTTATATCATTATTTCATGTTGCATACTTGCCTAAGAATGTGGTTTACTTCGCGTGTAAATGAGATGTAAGGGCGTGTACAGACGCACGGACTGTCTATGCCTTGTTGTGTCGCAAGTGTATGATTGTATTGAATGAATATGTAATTAGAGATATTGTTCTTTGATAAATGTTTGTAGCTTTTATTGTGTTGTGTGATTAGAGTAGTAGGTTCTAAGGTCATGTTTTATACGTTAATTTGTCATTAACGAAATAGATCTCTGCACTTGTAATGTTGATAAAGTTTTAGTCCACGCCTCAACAAAGCACACAATGTGACACTCACTTTTAACTAATTGTGTTTTGAATACCCATTGCCAATTGGATAGTTTTACTGGGTCAAAAATAAATTATTTTGATTTTTCAGTCCAATTTTATATTGAAAAATAGTTAATTTTCATTCATTGATTTGCCAATATACTTAATTTTCGATTTATTCTAGCTTTATTTTAGATATAAGTGTGCTATTTGACGCGAAAATGTGATGACGTCATAAGATGGTATTTCGTACAAAATTCATAGAACATTATCGTTTTTGACGTTTCGATAAAAGTATTGAATTTGACTAGTTGTCAACTACCGTATTATGTCTTATGTGTCTGTGATAGAGAACAAGCCAATAAGGTTTAAACCTAGAATTTACTACGGTACGTATCGTTTAAAAAATTTTAAACTGTCAAACACCAAGCGGTCACCAGTGACCGCAACCTATTGTTCTATAATTGTGTCTACAAAACCGGTACTCGACGAGTTAATATCAGAACATAACATCACGTTTTTTATCTCCGAGGGGGTAGGCAGAACAGTTTATTACGGCACATAATGACACGGTACAATGTAACAACCACTTTTGACTATTTATGTTAAGAGTCCCATGTAATAGGTGAGCCTATTGCTATGTATCAAAACATCTAAAAACATTTTGCCCTATCAAATTAATATAAAAATCGAATTTGAAATTTTATCTCGTCGACATTAAACTAACAATCAATCAATAAACTACGTATAGGATATTAAACTACGTAGCCTATTAAACTGAACAAGTTCGAACACAACCACGCTAAAATTTCATCAGCTTACTATTTAGTCCCAACATGTCTGTGTCGCACGTAATTTGAATACGTGTCGTACCGTGCGGCCACGGCCTAATTTTGGCGCACTCAATCCATTATAAGGTCGTTTTTTTACATCATTACCTTTTTATCGATCACTTGTACCTATATTAGTTATAATTAGACCTTGTCAT